TGTGGGGTTTCGGGCCCCCCGGCGCAGGGGGGGGCCTGGAGCCCCCCATGCCCTGGGGAACCACAGTCACAGCCGCTGCACCCCAGGTAGGGACCTCAGGGCCCCAACCCTGAGGCTTTGGGGTGCAGCGGGATGGGGGGCTCGGATGCATTGCTGGGGTCCTGGGGGATAAGGGGGCTGCAGGAGGTGGGGAGCAGCCTTTGGGGACCCCCATGCCAACCTGCCAGGAAAAGCCTTGTGAAGCCCATGGGGGGATTCAAGATAAAGCCGTTTTGGGGGCCATTCCCAGTGCCAACAAAAGCAGCGGCCCCCGGCCCAGTGCTCCCCCCTGCCCTGGGCAGGGTGAGATGGCAAAGCCCTGGCGCAGCGAGTTGATGCTGGCAGAGGGGATAGAGCCTCCCGGGCTCCCTACGAGCCTTGAAACCTTGGGAAAAAAGATTTACAGGTCACCCACCCCTCTCCCCTCCCTGGAGAGCTAGGGCAGCCCCAGGATAGGGGTGGAGGGAGCGGGACTTGCCGGGGTGTGGGGGGCACTCCCTGGGCTCCTGACAGGGAGATGGCAGAGCAAAGGGATTTATCTTCCCTTATTTAAGGGCTGGAGCTGCAAGAGGTTTGGGGTAAACCCTGGCTGCAAGCCCTGCAGCGCTGGCTGCCCATCCCGCTGCAGTGGGCATCTGCTGGGTCAGGTCCCCGCGTCCCTGGGGACACCGTGTCCCCGGGTGCACCCTCCCCAGCTGGCAGCAGCTTTCCTCGCCGTTTAACCCCCTTCCGTCCCACCTTCCCCGCAGGGACACGCAAAGCCCCCCACCTGTGCCCACCCTGCCAGAGGACCTTGCAAGAGGGACATGGGATTTGGGGCACCGGCACCCCCAGCCTGTCCTCCCGGGGCTCCCCATGCCGGCTGTGAGAGCATCAGTCACACCCAGGACATCACAACACATTTTGCTTACAAGGCAGTTTTCCTCCTTTCCCTGCTCCTCTTCTCCCCCAGCCACCCTCCATCCCTCCAGCCGGGATGCTTGCAAGGCTGGCCGAAGCACGTCCGCTCCTCTGCCGTGTAAACAGTACAAAGCAGGCAGAACAAAAAGAAAAAGGCAGGAGCTGTTACAGGCAGCTATTTTAAGTTAAAAACAAAAGACCAACAACCAGGTGTTTTTTTCCTTTCCTCCCACAAAGCATCTCATGGATACCTGAGCTGCCCGTCTACCCTCATCATTTGAACCTAAACCACAACTTGCTGCCAGCCAAAACCAAAAAGGAAATAAACAAATTAAAAAATTATAATATAAAAGATCAACATCACCGGGCAACTTAGACTCTTGTGAAATGTGCAGTTTAAGCAATTCCCAGTTTTCCGTCCCAGTCTGGGCTCGGCTGGTTGCGTTTCAGATTTACTGTCCAGAGGGAAATGGCAAAGCTGCCATCTCCCTTTTCCCAAACTCAGGAATCAGGCAGTCCAAATAAAATCCAAATCAAGGGAAGAGCCCTGCGCCAGGGCCAAGGACCTGGGGGCTTTGGGGAGCTCTGGGTGTCCCCGTGCCCGAGGATGGGGGACCCGGCTCGGGGGACACCTCACGCCTGCAGGAATTCCCCAGCACGCATGGCCATGCCCCAGTGCATGGCTCCGTGCCTGCGTTTTACAGCTGTCCTCTTTGCAAAACACCCATTTTCAGTCCCAAATCCCTGCGGAGGGGAGAAGCTGAACGTGTCCCAGAGCGGGAAGCAAAGGGGGGACGTGCCCATCCTGAGGGGATGCTCATGGTCCCCAGGGCACAGTTACCCTGCACGCAGCTCCCATGGCAGGCAGCATCCCCGGGTGCTGCTGGTGCCAGGCTGCTCCCGGTCGGGTCAGCACGGGCCCAGCCAAGGGCAGCTGCGGGTGCCATTGTCCCCAGGGTGCCATTGTCCTGGCTCATGCCTGGGCTTTGTCCTCCCCAAACAATGGCCAGGGCGAAGCCACCCGCAACCAGCACCTGGGAGGGAGGGAAGGAGGGAGGGGCGAGCCTAGGCGCAGTCCCCCCAAAATTCAGGCAGTCCCTTTCTTTGCAGGTGAGGGTTGCGGTGCAGCAAAGGGCAGAGCCCCCCGCCACGCTGCCCCCCACCCCGCGCAGGGCTGAGGGCCAGGAGCTGCTTTGTTGGGGTAAGTCCGGAGCAGCCCCGCTGCAGCGCACAGGATTACTCCTGATGGGCACTGAGGGCAGCCGGTGCCACAGCCAGGCCGGTGATGGCATGGGGACAGGATCTGGCTGGAGGGGAGTGTGGCCCCGATGGTGTTGTGTCCCCCCCAAAGCAGCCCTGGGGCATGATGCCACGGGGATATTGAGGTCTCCTGCTGGGTCATGCCCTTGGCCCCTCCGTCCTGGCAATGCCCAGAGTCTGTAGGGTGAGAGGACAATGTGCCAGGGGGCAAGAGACCTGGGGGCAGGACTCCTGCGTCCCCCAGATCCTCTCCTGGGTGACCCCAGCCACTCTCCCACCTTCAATCCCTGACAAAGGGCACCAAGGTTGTGGGGAGCCCTGCGACAGCCACAGATTCATCTGCCTTTATCTCACCCCAATCAACCCCACGTCTCCCCCACCAGCCCCAAATTCCATGCCCACTCTCCCCTGGGAGTGCTCGCAGGAGACAAGGGCTCTGCACGGTCCTTGCCCTGCACCCGGGCACGTTGGTGTGGTCCCTTAGCTGGGGGCTCATCCCTCCCCTCCAAGGCTGGGGGCCAGACGGGTCCCATGGTCCATCGCTGGTGACTCTGGGGGGGTTGAGCCTCTTGGCACCCCAGCCACGGTCCTTAGCGCTGGAAGATGATTTCTGTGGCTGGGAGGCAGATGGAGGCAGCAAAGGTCCCCTGTCCCTCCCAGAGCTCAGCCTGTCCCGCTGCCGCCGCTCAGACCGGGTGGACAAACTGGTAGACGAGGCGCTGGGAGATGTCGGGTTTCCGGATGATGCCTTTCTTGTAATACTGCCGGATGGAGCGGCTCAGCTTGTCGTAGTTCATGGCCGGGCGGTTCTTCCGGATGCCCCACAGACGGGCCACTTGTGCCGAGTCCTCGATCTTGAAGATGCCTGGGAGGGGAGCGGGGCATGGGGGGTTACAGCCTCGCCTGCTCCCCCAGCACCCGCCCCGGGGCCGCTGGAGCACCCACCCACCTTTCTCCTTGTTGAGCCAGCGGATGAAGCGGCCGTAGTTGTGGGGTTTCAGCAGCAGCTCTTTGAGGAACTGCCAGAGGTGGATGGGTTGGCCGGCGCAGGATGAGTCCACCTCGCTGTCTGTCCAGCTGGCATCACCTCCTGCCGCGGGAAGGGATGGGTGAGATGGGGGTGGGGAGAGACCTCTCTGCTTTGCACTGCCCCGGGGACCCGCATGAGTCCTTGTCCGGGAAAACCCGCCTCGACGCCTGTGGGTCTCTAGAGACTCAGTCCAGGCACTGGGTCTGGAAGCATCGCTTTCTCCTCCCCATCTTGGAGCAGGGAAAACAGCTCGGTCCTGCCCTTGCGCAGCCCCGGCAAGGGTCTTGCGGCCATTTCCCCTTT